AGACACAGAATCGGAAGCAGGCTCCAGGCTCTGAGCCATCAGCCCAGAGCCCGACGCGGGGCTCGAACTCATGGACCGTGAGATCGTGACCTGAGCTGAAGTCGGACGCTTAACCGACTGAGCCACCCAGGCGCCCCATCTAGCCTACTTTTTAAAGGCAGCCCTTGTTCACTATCCCTGATGCCAGCCAGATTTGGGAAGTCACCTTCGAGATTGTTTAACATCATGGTGAGAGGGGGACTGAAATAACAGTGAGGGAACTTCTAGGAAGCTCTTCAGAGAAACAAGGTTCAAAATCACTCTAAGAGGTTTCAGCAGGGATTTGGGAGAGAGGTAGGGTAAGGGATTCACAGGCAGCCCAAAGGAAGTGAGCCCAACACTAGCACCCCAGCAAGATGCCCGGCAAGCAAGACCCCGTGACGGGAACCAACAGCTAGAGGGAGCATGAATTGTAACCTCCGCTGATGCTCGCTATGCCAGTATGACCCACTCAGATGTATACACAACACAGCTTCACTCTGCGAGGGGGAGGGACTAAGAAAAGGTCTCTTGTGCTGTCCTCATTTAGGGGCCAGGGGGCAATTTTAGGATGATCAACCATCCCAGTTTTCCTGGGACCATCCTGAATTTAGCTTCTTCTTCAGACCCCCATGTTCTTTAGTCATGTTCTCATCCCCTCTACCATTCTCACTCAGCCTCATTCTTACCTTCTTACCAAAGACAGGGGCACCCCCTCTTCTAAGATGCACTCTCTCCTTGTAGCCTCTGGCACTTTCAGTCTCGCTTAATCAATTCTCTTTTCTTCCCTGAGCTCAGTTTTGTGTCTGACTTCACTGTCATCTTTAGGCTTTCCACCATTTTGACTTTTTAATACTCCATGAATGTGGTACATATTTTTCAGATCAAAAAAAAATCTCAAAGTGGAAAGAAGCTTAGAGTTCATGCACTCCAAGGTTCCCAGCCCCAAATGCATAGGAGAATCTCCTAGAACTTTTTCCAGTCCCATCCAGAGAAACTGCATCAGAGTCTCTGGGCTTAGGGCTCAGGCACTAGTCATTTTTAAAACCCCTCAGGTAATTCTAATGTGCAGCCAAAGTTTCAAATTGCTTCTAAGCAGAAAATCTACTTCTACGGAATTCTTGAAAGCTGGGTATTTAACCTCTGCAGTATCCTTCTCCACTGACAGAAATACATGTCCATGTAGTGCATGCTTTTGGCAGACATGGCTAATCTCTAGGAAGCTCTTTATCACGATGCAAGTTTTGTTTCATTCCAACTCCCACCCACTGATTTCAGCTTTAAGCTATGATGCAACACAGTATGTTTACTTCTCTTCATTAACAATTTTAATCCACAAAGATACTCAGTTTCCCATTCTTGAGGACAAATAACCCCAGTTCCATTAACCACATTTACAGATCTCATGTCTCACCTTGCCAGATCTCATGTCACCCTAATTACCCACTACTAGATGCCCTCTGGTTTGTTAATGTCTCTCTCAAAACACACTGCTCTGGGGGCACCTGGGTGGCTCAGTCGGTTCAACTTTGGCCCAGGTCATGATCTCATGGTTCATGGGTTCGAGCCCCGTGTTGGGCTCTGTGCTGAGAGCTCAGAGCCTGGAGCTTGCTTTGGACTCTGTCTCTCCCTTTCTCTCTGCCCCTCCCCTGCTTGTGCTGTCTTTCTCTCTCTCAAAAATAAATAAACATTAAAAATAATTAAGACAAAACACTGCTCTGAACTGAGGATAGTACTACAGAGAGAGTGAAGTTATTATATCCTTGATTTGGAAACTTAACTTTAATTGCTGCCACCTAGTATGACTAGTTGCTTTAGATACTCATATTGAAAACTGTGGTCCAGTAAAACCTACAGATCTTTTTCACACAAACTATCTCCATGTCAGGATTCTCTCTTGGGGTGTGTATATCATTTAAATGTCAGCCTTATGGCTCCAGCCCATCTTTCTGGTTTGATGACACTTGATTCTTTTATGTAATATATTGCACTCTCACTAAAAGCTGTGTATTACTGGCAAATTTGCTAAATGTGCTTCCTATGGTTTCATCCAAATCATTGATAAAATGTGCCAAATAATACTAGGACAAGTGCAGAACCTTGTGGTATGTTCCCCTATAACCTTTCCTCAAGTTGGATTTCAAACCGTTTGTCAACATGATTTAGCCATGATTCACACTAATACCAATCCTCTGAGTTCATTCTTATCCAATCCATGTTTCTCCAACTCATCTTTAAGCATATCATGAAAGACTTTGTCATACGTCTTTCTCATACTGTTGTATATTATACGTTTTTCTCATACTGAAGTACTTACAAGTAAAATGATATTATATCTGGGATTTGCTTTAAAGTATTCCAATACCAACAATAAAAAGACCTGGTGGAGGGGAGAGCAACAGGGAAAACAAAAAATCTCAGAATATTGATAGCTGTTGAAGATGGGTAATGGGTATATGGAGGTATATTATTCTTTTTGGTTTTGTTTTAAATGTTCTATAAAAAATTTTATGAACCTCTTGCTGAAATAAAATACACTATTTCTATGAATTTGAGAGACTTCCAAATTCATTAACTCTAACATCCTCCTACGCATCTTCCTAATTGGGGCAATTTGATATAACTTGATTTAAATTTTTTTTTTCAACGTTTATTTATTTTTGGGACAGAGAGAGACAGAGCATGAACGGGCGAGGGGCAGAGAGAGAGGGAGACACAGAATCGGAAACAGGCTCCAGGCTCTGAGCCATTAGCCCAGAGCCCGACGCGGGGCTCGAACTCACGGACCGCGAGATCGTGACCTGGCTGAAGTCGGACGCTTAACCGACTGCGCCACCCAGGCGCCCCATAACTTGATTTAATAAATCCATGCCAGTTTCAAGTGATTGGGGCTTTCTTTTTTAGTTGCTAACAAATCTTCCATATTTATTTTAAGACTTTGCCAAGAATCAACCTCATGTGGAGTTTCCTGAACCTATCCTCCCCATATTTTATGATTTAGGTTACTAAATCTGAGAACTTAAAGACCATCATGTCTATAAAGTTCTTTAAATTCATTTAGAAAAATCATGGACTCTCTTAATAACTTCTCATCTGTTTCAATGACTTCTTAATGAGGTATGTTTCACTTTGAATTGATTGAACTGCATCTTTCTAGACTCAAGCAAAATAGAAGTTCAGAGGTTCCAATTCTTTTGCATAATCATTACCATTGTGAATCCCTCTTCCTGTTCATGTCTTGCACTGAACCGTAATCAAAATAACTTTTATTTTTGTTATCTTTAGCATTTTTTCCTGCACGCCTCATCTCCAAGTGATACTTAGCCCAAGGGATGCTACTTTTAAAAGAATTCTCCTAGCTTCTAAACGTTCTTCTCGACTACTTGCCATCTTTTTTCTCTATTGTACAAATCCTTGGGTGGGGGGGAGGACTTTATTTTATAAAAGCCATGGTGATCATAGAAATTTTGAGAAAATGGAGAAATATATAAAATAAAATTAAACTCACCCCTAATTTCTAAACTCCTTATTAAGGTCCCTCTGGTCAAATAAGTATTTTAAATGCCTTTCACTTCCCTTACCCATTAAGATTACTTCTGATCACATAATCTGATTGCTCATTTAGTTGGTTATATCACTTTTAGACTCCTATCCTTTTGAGCCATATTCTTTAGCAAATCTGACCATGAGATCTCACCTATCATTTTTCTGATTTTTTTTTTAATCCTTCTTCCTAAAAATTGAGGCCAACTGCTGGTTGCCTTGTTTTCCTCCTTCAAGATTATTAATGCCTAAACCAACTATTCATTTCTCCTACTTCTTAGCCGTATCTTTCTTTTGAATCAGAATTAAATCAAGAAGATGGAAGAAGGGCACTAAAATCCTCCTCTAACTTGCAAAAAGTATCTATGAGGAATATTAAGAATTTTTCATATATTTTTGGAAAATTAGATTTCCAATCAATATCTAGGTAAAGTTACAGTGTTTCAAACTTTCATAATTGAAAGGGGTTGGGTGGGGGGTAATGAAGGAAAGTGTTGCCAACATCTACTGTGATCTTCATGCCAAGCACTGTACTAGGCACACCACATAAAATTTTTTTTTCTCATTTAATACTCTTAAAGGAACTATAAGTTAACTACTGTTTTAGTTCCTGTTTTACAGATAAGGAAAACGCAAATGAGACAGATTAAGCAACTTCCCCAAGACCAAGCTGGCATAGTATCTTTGAAATACTAATTATTAGAATATCTGGTTTGCAAAGACTTCCTTTAGTTGGAAAACTCCATTCACAGTTTATTTTGCTTCTGTCTTTGCTTTTTAATGGAAATACTTCATCCAAAGCTTCCACCTGACTAGGGTGGTTTTATCTTATACAACAATGTCGGTTTTCACTCTCCCTCCTTTGTTCTCATCCAAAGCCCTGCAACAAGCTTCCAATCTCATGCTTTTGTATTTTCATACAAACAATATCTTAACATTCCCTCCCTATTCTAAAACATTTATGACTTTAAATAAGAAATAGAACTCACTGCCTCCAATCAGTTAGGAGACCCACCCTTCTAAGCCCTGTGACATGTGGAGCTTCATGTTTAGGTAGAGTAAAAGTATATTTATTTCAATAGGTTAAACTTTGATTCGAAAAAAAAAATGAAGATGGTCAAAAGAAAGCTTGAAATTCTAGACTCATCAAATTTCCTTAAAAGTTGTATCAATGAAATGGGGCGCCTGGGTGGCGCAGTCGGTTAAGCGTCCAACTTCAGCCAGGTCACGATCTCGCGGTCCGGGAGTTCGAGCCCCGCGTCAGGCTCTGGGCTGATGGCTCAGAGCCTGGAGCCTGTTTCCAATTCTGTGTCTCCCTCTCTCTCTGCCCCTCCCCCGTTCATGCTCTGTCTCTCTCTGTCCCCAAAATAAATAAACGTTGGAAAAAAAAAAAGTTGTATCAATGAATCATAGATGTATTCTCCTTTTTTCTCTCTCAGCCCTTTTCCTGGAAATTAATGCAGCTTATTATGCTTCACATTGGAAGAGGCAAAGAGCCATAGCCTCACACCTTTCCATGAATTATTCTAAAGTTGGCAGCAGACTACCTAAATGAAAAAGCAACAGCAAAACAACACCCAGAGGTTACAGGAGCTGGGATCTTGAGTAAATCACATTCTCAGTCTTTGTTTCTTCAACTGTAAAAGGAGGATTAACAGTACTATCTATTTGATGGAGTTGCTAAAAGAATTAAACTGAATAATCTTTAAGAAACTCGCATATGAACTGTAAATTCAATGATTATGATTATTATGATAATGATGATTATAGCTTGCAAGGCCATAACTTCATTTTGAATCAATGTATAAAATCAAATATGCAAATACGCGATACCCAAGTAACCAGAGGCTTTTTACATCTGTAAATGGTGTTGAAAAGTGTTTTAATTTCCCAAATTTCCAGGATTCTTCTTTTTCTCACGATAGAAAAGTCTAGGGTGGGTACAAAGATTCCTGTCACTTCACCATTTGCTGATACTTTTTCTCACTAGACTTGGTGGTTTGGGAACCAGGTTTTGCTGCTGACAGTACACTGGAAGCCAGAATCTAGGACTGAGCCTGGCTTGGTGAGTATCAGTCCTGGGTCACCCTATTCTTCGGAAAGCAACATCAGCTTCAAGTTCTAGAATTAGGGTTCGCCTTCTCAGGCAAAGAAAGGGGATGCTGTAGGGAGGTTAGGGAAACCCACACCTTCTCCCTCCCCTGCTGATTCTGCCCTTCCTCCAGGCTTGTCTTGCAGGCTCCTTTCAGGGCAATATGGAAGTCCTTGGGCTCAAAGTACACTCTCTACTCCACTGCTTCTCATTCTCATTTCCAATTCAGGGAAGTAAAGAAATGCTCTGGGGCCTTAAAGTGGAAGGGAGTTGTGTGGTTCTTCACACCTTAACGTGAAATGTTGAGATGGACTGTGTTCCCCAAACCTGGCTGTGGAAAAGCTGAATAGAAAGAACATGGGTTTGGAGGCAGTATAGGAGGAGGGCAAGGGACAAACTATCCCTTGGGATGGGTTGGAGGAAAGGGACTTTGGCAGCACCCAGGCACTGGGCAGCAGGGTGGGAGGACATAAGGCTCAGGATATAGAAGAGAGGTCCAGAAATGAAGCTCTTAGATACCACATCCACTTCACCAGCACCCAGTTTTACCAAGTACCCACCCTGTCTCCTTCCTGCCTCCTTGGATGGAAAGAGCAGCACTGGAAAACTCTCAGTTTCATCCTCACAGTTACCATTTGTTATGTGCTTGCTGGGTACCAGGCACTATGCTAAACACTACGTGCACCATCCATGAAATCTTCACAACACTATAGATATCATTAGGCCAATTTGCACTTGAGGAAACTGGGGGTCAGATGTTTAGTAATGTGCTCATTGTCACACAGTAAGTGCAGAGCTGGAATGTAAGCACAAGCCTGTGTGATGGTGGGAACACTATGCTCTTCATTATTAGGAGGAACTGACACTCATTTAACTCTTCCCTTTTCTATCTCCTCCTACCCGTCCCCCCACCTACCACCTACCCACTTCCTTCAGTCAAGTATGGCCAGTTAACATGGCCATCTTCTAAGAAGGTCACCACAGGTGGTTTCTGCCTCATAAATGTCTAGGTTGGGTTTTGTGGCTGCTTTTCATGTCCTGTGACCTTATGATCTTGGCCACAATAGACTACACCAACAACCACTGCTTGAGCCACGGTTGGGCTTGCATTACCTCATTTAGCCCTCTGAACAAACCAATACAAAATTAATCATATTGTACTGGTTGAGAACACTGACTCAGAAAAGTTAAGTTACCTACCTGTGGTGATGATATAGCTAGTAAGAGGCAGAACTAGGATTGGAGGTTTGGTTCATCCAAATGCTTGAACATTCGGCTCTACCTCTTTTTCTTAGGAGATCAATGGAGTTGGCCTGGAACAAGAAACCCTCTCGAATACAATTTGTGACAATAGAAGGGAGTTTTCCAGCCAGTGCAGCCTGTGCATCAGGAGACACAGAGACAGAATCAAAGAAGAGCTGAGTTTTGGCAATGGAAGAGAAATCAGGGAGGATGACTTCCACAGTGGCTGCCCAGTCATGTGGGCTGGCACTATGCCCTCATCAAAGCAGTTCCTGCCAGCTTATATGCAGCAATAGAGTCTGTTACCTGTGTTTTCTGACTTCTCCAAATGGGCCTGTCAGCCCCTATCACCCCAGATAACCTAACCCAGTCCTTGTCACCTATGCCTCACACATATCCCTCCCTTAGGCTTAAACTCCCAGTAACACACCCCATCACTATCTTGTCCTGTGGGAATGGAGTGGCATGAGTCTTGGAGCCCTGTAGACCCTGATGCTTGAATCCTAACCCCACTCTGACATCCAGCTTTACTTCTTTCCCCAAGTAACTCTTTCCTTCCATTGTCTGCCAGCTCCAAGAGAAAGAGTATTAGGCCTAGGGGTGCTTTCCAACAGGCCCTGAGTGTTTGGGGTGTACATCAAATGTTTTCTGGGGGAACAGCAAGTCAAATGCCGTATGCAACTCAGAAGGCCATACAAGTACAGAACCTCCATATCCTGGGTCCACCAAGGCCTTGGAGTGACTGGGGAATGAAACTAGAATCCTCTTCCAGGCCTTCAAACCCCACACTTAGTCCCACTGTCTGCACGAGACATCAGAGCTTACAGAAGTCCCCTTGTCTCTGAGGTTGGCCAGAGGAACAAGCTGCTAGTGAGTATCAGTGCTAGAAATGCTGGCAACAAGCAGCATAGGACACTTTTTTTTTTTTGAGTTTTATTTTTTTATTTTTTTAATATGAAATTTATTATCAAATTGGTTTCCATACATCACCCAGTGCTCCTCCCAATACATAGGACACTTTTAACGCTCCTATAAAGCATGTGTATTCTGAGGAACTTACACTCCTGAGCAGCTGGGGCTACATCTGTAAATGTCACACATAATGAGCTGTTCCAAGAAAGATCCAGGAATACAAAAAGCTTGATTTCCTGGCTCCAGTGCCTCCCCTTGGAAACCTTCTCCTCTGAGGACAATTTGGCAAAAGGTCAAATTGGTACCTTGACCTTTACACACACACACACACACACACGCACGCACGCACGCACGCGCGCATACGCACAGAGAGAGAGAGAGAGAGAGAGAGAGAACAAGAAAATCACTTGGTTATATTAAGCATCCCATCACATTCCTCTCTCAGGAAGGCAGGATATAGTAATCAGAAACAGACAAAAAGAAAAAATAATTGACAAGGCACCTGTTTTTTTTACATAGATCTACTTCTTTCTAACTCTCTTGCAGGTTCTCTTGCTGTTCTATTACTTGGTAACCAATTGCCCCAGCTCCAAATCTGTTCCTCCTTTCCATAATCATAATATCTAGAAGTTGAGTTCCCAAGGCAACCACAAATATTTGTTATTCTTTCTGCCATGTGATTTTCCCTAAAAATAAACTCAGATATTTTTCCTACCATCAAAATGCCATGAAGAATGTTAATGGATATTGCTTTTTTATGCATACCTGTGAAATAAAGAAGGTGTAATGCTGCTTAGGCAAAATTTCCAGAAATACTGTGAAAGTCCTAAAGTGGAAGATAATATAAAAGCTGGGGTGTTAGATTGTTCTATCTTTAAAATGGAACAAGGCATGGGGGAAAGGATTAGAGCAAGCTGTTATACATATGTTCATGCACCCAAACAAGAAGAATTTTTTTCCTTTTTAGAAAGGAAATAGCTGAGTGCCTATTTGCTCTAAGGTCTCATACAGATTTCCTTCGAAATGTCCCCTTGATGTGCCAGCCAAGGACTCCCAGAGATGTCTATTTGAAGCCAACAGAACTGAAACCAATTAACAAACAAATTTGTTTTCTGTTCACATGTGTCTCTGGGGTGGGTGACCTTTCAGAAATCATGGATAAAGTCTCCATTTAAGGCTCCAACACAGTAATGACCCCACTACACAAATCATTGTGGCTTAAGGGGCTTCCAAATTAAAGGAGGTCTTGCAAATGGTAATGTCACAATGGCAATAGTGATAGAAAACTTTACATTTCAATTATCTCAACAACAGTTTGCAAACGCATTTATGTTCCCTCTCTTTTTGATCCTCAGAGAAACTCCCTAGGACACACACACACACACACACACACACACACACACACACAGAGAGATTTCCATTTTACAAGTATGCAAAGGCTGAGGCTGAAGAGCAAGGACACTCGCCCCACCTATATGCTACTGGGTGTACAACTCAACCAAGTCTTCTACTTCCAGTCCCATGTCTTTTTATCCTGAATATTCTTTATGCCTCCACCTCATCATACCTACTATCATCCAAGAATCCTGAAACCAGTAGAATTTGTGATACAGAGGACCAGGAGTTAAACAGGCAGACTTAAGAGTTCTTAGAGAAGCAATTCATAAATAGATAAAATAATGGAAAGACTGTGGGGGGTGGGGCGGGAAGAAAAAACAAAGCTGAGATGAACTAATGCAGGATGCAGTCACTAACACAACAGGGAAAATTCTCTCTCCCTCCTTCATATCCTCTCTGCTCATGACTGTCCTAAGACCTCGGACTTCCCCCAAATGGCCCTATAATAACCCTTTCCTCCAATATTGGAAAGTCTCTTTTTTTTTTTTTTTTTTTTGGAAAGTCTCTTAAAATATTTGGCTAACCTTGATTGACCAAACGCAGGTTTCCAATTTTTCTTAGAACTACCATATTAGTACCAGTCATATTCATGTCACTATTTCTTTTGACACATGTTCTTTATACAACATGGTCTCTGAATCCTTTCCCATTCTGGACATACCCACCCACCCAGTTTGTCAACATCTCACTTCCAATGTGATGCAGAAAGGTAATATACCGCCCATAGTGATTTCCAGTTCTTTACTCAATGAATCAATTAAAAGTAAACAAATTTGCACTGAATCATGAGGGAACTTTTTGAGTGGTGGAAATACTCTATATATAGCTTGATGGGTCAAAAAGTGTTGTTGTAGGGATAAATGAGATAGTGAAAGTCAAGCACTTAGCATAGGTCTTGGCACAATGTAAGTCCTTTTATGAACCACTCCCTGCAAATCAATGCCTTCATTGCACTCTCTCTGAAGTATTATCTTCAGTTCAGAGCAATGTATTTTTTTAAGTTTATTTATTTATTTTGAGAGAGACAGAAACAGCATGAGCAGGGGAAGAGCAGAGAGAGAGAGGGAGAGAGAATCCCAAGCAGGTCCACATTGTCGGTGCAGAGTCCGATGCAGAGCTCAAACTCACGAACCACGAAATGATGACCTTAGCTGAAATCAAAAGTCAGACACTTAACCAGCTGAGTCACCCAGGCACCCCAGAGCAGTGTATTTTGAGACAGACAATAAATTGGAGGGCAGAAGTTTCAAAGGAGAGACAGAAGCTCCTACTCACAAAAGTTCCATTAGCAATTTGTCCCTCTCTGTTTGCGCCTGTCCAGCTTTGCCCTACTCTGGTGAAGACACAATAGGTTTATCTCCTGAGGATCAACTCCACCTAATTCCTACAGTATATTGGGAATTTCTTCACCATAATGGGAGAGCATCTGAAAACCCATGTTGCTTCCATGCCTTGGGTCAAGTGTCCTGCAAAGAATTTAACCACCCCTTTGGGAGAATCTGGGCAAACCTCCTTAGGTAAATTCATCATAGAGTACATTAGAGTCTGGCCACCCAGTTCCTGGTCCTTGCTTCATTTCCACCTTAGGATTAGAGTCAGACCACAGATGTTGACCAAATTGGTAGGGGAGTGACCTTGTATGCTGGTTTCAGTCCACTACTTTCATGTAGGATCTGAATTCAGTTTCCAGTGACCTCAGACAGACGTTTCTGCCCAATGACTTGGCAACAGACCAAGGATGTACTTCCCAGATGCCCCTGCAGCTGGACCCCCACCTTGGATCAAAGCCCTTGAATACACCCATGGTCTGGATCAAACATGACTTTATTTGTCTCCCTTGGACACAATGACCTGAGCTACCTACAGCAACTTCCTTTTACTCTCCCCATCTACAAAGAGCTTCAGGTACATGTCATATCTATGGATGTTCCATTTAGAACACTGACAATGAGATGAAAACATTACAAAGAGCAAACATATGAGCTCATAAAGCAAAGCAACCTATTGAAGATTTAAACAGGGACAAATTTATTGAAGATGTATGGGGCAAATAGGCGTCAAAACTTTAATAGACCTAAAAACTTTACTAGTCACTGATATCTTATAATTTCATTCATTCATTCATTATGTACTCATTTATATATTCACGCTTGCACTGATTTGAATAACATTTGATTGTCTGGAATTAGCTTGGTACTGGATATATAAAGTATGAATAAAACTTTATAAGATATATAAGATATACATAAGTATGTATAAGATATATATAAGTATTAATAAGATATATAAAGTATGAATAATCCCTGCTCTTAAAGAACTGTAAGAATTAATGTTCAGAATGTCAATGTCATCGCCTTGATCTGTCAAATAAACGTTTTTATCCTTGGTATGCTCTGTTAAAAGAAACAGATGTAATACACCTCAGTAGGTTATATAAGATAATTCCATTCAATAATATTAGCTATAATTAGCACAAAATGTAATGTGTGAGCTTCAATTCTCTAGGTAACAGCATTATCAGCCTTGAGCGTGGCGTTTCTAGGACTGTATCACACCTTTGGCCTTCCTAGCTATATGGTATTGGCCTCACTTCCTCAGTTTTAAAACAGGAATAACAGCATTTCTCATGTCATAAGATTTTTGTAAAGGTCAAATGAGGTAATGGGTTCAACGTGCTTAACATGGTACCTGGAAAACTCCTGTTTACGTTGTATCTTCCTTTTCAAATTTGCATATGATAGTTTTTATTTATGTAGTTTACATTAACAAGATCTTTCCATTTTTTAATATCACCTTAGAACCTCCATTTGGGGTTAATATCTAAGGTCAAGAGCAATTGGCCTTATAAAGGAAATCCTAAGTAGTAAAAGCAATAACCAAGAAGGACAACATACTCATAGCCCTAATCAAAAGGAAGTAAGTAGAAGTAAGCAGCTCAGAGTCTCAGAAATTAAAATTTGTGAGACGCTTATCAAAACTATCACCTACTAGGAAAAGATGTTAGAGCATAGGACACTCTGTTAAGTTAAAACTAAACCAACTGCAGGACACATGAATAAAGTGACAGGACCCCAGTCAAGGCTCAGGCTTCCAAAGCACATCTGGACTCTGTATTAAGTTTCAGACAACACACTTAAAGTGAGACCTTAACAGCCTAGAACTGATCTGAAGCTTCCCAAAAAACAAGTGTTAGCCAACTGGGACTTGACAAAACAGTGAAATACAGTAGGAAAGCTGAGGCCTCTTCAGCTGGGGAATGGCAGACACGGAGGAGTCATGACAATATCCTTTCAAATATCTGAGGGACTATCCCACGGAAAGGGATTTAGATCTGGTCCACCTCTATGGCTCAGAGGGAAGTACTAGTGCAAATGGCAGAAGGAAGATGCAGGAAAGGAGAAACATTCAGTTAAATTTTAAAAAGAGCAAATCTTTGTAACAGATCTATCTCATATAGTAAGAGAACTCTATCTGGCATTTAGGAAAAGTAAAGTATAGGAGGGCAAGCAGAGACTCTAGGACTCAACAGAGAATTCAGCTTGATCAAGACGCTGGACTGTGGATTTGGCTGGTTTCTGATAACTTTTTCAGACATCCCTGGTAAGAAAAATAAAGCAGTGATATACTTTCTAAGTATATTAACCATATTAACCATAAAATGAGGATAATAATAACATTGACCTGACAGAATTGTGTAAAGGTAATAATAATATGTGGGAAAAGACTTCAATGGGAAAGACTAAAATGAAAACAAATAAACAAGCCCAGAGGAAACAGAGGGGAAAATTTCAATTATTATCCTCACAGAGATGAGAAAAAAATTGCATCTGTGAGACCAAAAGAGTGTACAATTTTGTTTAAATAAACAATTAGAAAATAAAAACAAGTTTTTAGAATTTTAAACTATAATAACTGAAAAATGAACTTGACAAATGTCTTTGAAATTTTACGAATAAAGTTGAGAAAATATCCTAGAAGGTAGAGCTGACTGCCAAAGAGGATGGGGAGAAAACACAAGAAATTAAAATTATTAATACAAGAGAGACAGCACCTGACTAATACACCTTCCAGAAAGAAAGATCAGAGAAAACCACGGAAAGAAAATTATCAAAGAAACCATATGAGAAAATTTCCCAGAACTAAAGGACCTGAGTTGCCAGATGGGAGGGGCTGAATGCCCAACACAATAGATGAAAATAAACACACCCCAAAGTACATCACTATACATGTTTAGTACATAAGGGATAAAGAAAAAATCCTAAATGCTTCCTAGAAAACAGAGGGTGGGGTGGGAGGAACCAGTGGCATAAAAATAATTG